ATTGTTGACCCATTAAAAAGATGTGTACAGTCGGGCGTTGGTGGCACATGCCTTTAATCACAGCACTTGGGAGGCAGAGGCAGGTGGATCTCCTTTGAGTTTGAGGTCATCCTGGTCTACAGAGCGAGTGCCAGGACAGCTTCCAAAACAGAGAAACCCTGTCTCGAAAAACCAAAAAAGAAAGAGGAGGAGGAGGAGGAGGAGGAGACGAGGCTGTGTACGAAACATCTGTGATTATTTGATCCTCTCTGTCCTAAAGTCCATGAAACTAATGAGGAGACAAGATCCAGAATCAAGGAGTGTGAGGACAGTGCAGGGGAGACTGAACCTGGCTGGGGAAGGAATGGTTTCACAGTAAAGGCAGAGGCAGTGTGATGGAAGATGGATGTATACGTTTTAGTGTCAAGCCAGTCCGGAAATCTTGCTGTAACACTCTAGCCATGTGTGGGATTGAGTGACTTCCTCCCTAACCCAGAGACCTTTTGTTTGTGACCTGAGGCTAACAGCATCTGCCCTCTCAAGATTATCCTGAGGCTCTTGTGTGTGTGTGTGTGTGTGTGTGTGTGTGTGTGTGTGTGTGTGTGTGTGTGTGTGTGTATGACATCAGAATTTGTAAATTACTGAGTGTACTTTGCTTTCCTTTGCATCATCTCTGGTCACATTAATATTTTTCTTGTCTGTATTTACTGTATCAATGTAGTCAACCAGTATGCTAATGATTACCTTGGGCTAGGTAGTTTTGCCTATATTTCTGTCTTTCTTCTAGTTATAGTTCTCCTGACTTCAGTGGCTTTTTTTATTCATCTTTACATTGCTAGTGACAGGCTGTATAGGATATAAATGTATAAATTATAATATAGTATAATATAGTATAGTCTCTGTATCTAGGGAATTTGTATTGAATTAAATAATATAACTGATAATTTGATAAACATTTTGGGAAGAATGGGGTCAAAACATTAATTTCTACCTTACAGCTAGGGAAATCGAGGCACTTTAAGAAGCTTCTGCTATTTGCCCCAAGTCATAAAGCTAGCAGGGAAATGGCGAGAGGATTAGAACCCCTTTCCTCTTGTTTTCCTAGCTTTGTTTTGTCCTGTCAAGTCAGCCCCCAGAACTAGGAGCTCTGCAGATTCGGATCTGGCCCAGTCCCTCTTTGTCACCTGGCTTCCCCCCTGCCTTAGATGACTGAGTGGGCAAGAGCCTGGCCTAAGGGGGAGAGAGCCTTAGGAAACATCCTCTCCCCACCCAGCTCCCTGCCTGCTGCCCTGAAGGTATTTCTGGGCGTGAAGGTCCACCTGGAAACCTAGGGAGAGGCTGGGAAGGGCAGCCAGCTGCAGCTGCCGGAGAGTGGAGGAAGGGAGAGGAGGCCTGGTCCCTGCAGTGAGTGAGTAGTAAGTAACTAGTGTTGAGGAGGAGGAGCCAGATGGAGCTCTGGGGATGGGAAGTCCAAAGGGCAGTGGAGTCTGTCACAGACTGCTTCTTGGTGCCCAGCCCTTCCTACCCTTTGAAAGCACTCCTTTTCCCCTTCTGCTGGGAAGCGTGTTCCCCGCTTACTCACTCTGTGTTGTAATCCTTATTGTGTAGGCAGGTGGAGGGAAGCTTGCACGAAGAAAAGGCTCACCTTAACACTGACTTGAACAACTTTGTGTTCTTTGAAAAGTGTAGTTTTCTTGGAAAGAAAACGGTGCTCAGAGGGAGTAGGGTCCAACAGCTTTACTGAAGCAGATGTTTCCAGGGTGTGGGGTCACACACTTGTCTGTGTGGCAGCATCAGCTGGGAGTAACTGAAAATCACAAAACCCAACCACACCCAGACCTGTGGAGTCAACCCTTCTGGGTGTGGTCCAAAGGCAGTGCCCCTGGGAAGCTCAAGCAAGGAACAGTGTGAGAACCTTGTAGGGTAGGTGTGTAGTCTCTGTATCAGGGATCCTAGACAGGAGGGAATCAGTCTCTGGCTCTCAGGAGTTGCCAAATGCCATTTTATTTTCCTCATCTATGTATGAGGTCTAAGAGGAGCGAACCTTTCAGCCCAGGTCCATGTTCCTTGCAAGCCCCTTCCTTGAAACTCAGTGGACCTATGTAGTCCACCCTTAAAGGGAGGGGGATCACACCAGAAACCTCCACATTTGAATTGTTGCCACATCCTGTTGTATAAAAACAAAACTGAGTGCCCTGAGGAAGAATGTCTCTGTTCCCCTTTCCACACAATAACAGATACCACATCTCAGCATAGGTGAAGCCCAGGGGTGCACAGCACACGCGATTGGCTCAGGCTCTGAGGCAGGTGAAGTTCTGAGGCCAGGCCAGCCAGGAAGTGCTTTGCCAGAGAAGTCAGGATCTTGGCATTCTGGAACATTAAATGTTACTCTTGATCACCTTTTTTTGACATAGAGCCTGGAAGTAAAACTGATCATTGAGGGCCGTGTGGACCTCTAGTTTTTACTTGAAATGAAGCTTGGAGCACACATGAAGTCTGCAGTTTTAAGTTCAGGGCCAGGCAGGCTTATTTTGTTTTCTTTAGTTTTTGTCATGAGTTTATGATCTATATGTATTTTTCTCTCTCTCTGGAGAGCAACAAGGTTCCAGAAGAACCTGAAAGTAGGCATTCCTTGAGAAATTTTATGATTAAAAACCTGTTAAAAATTAAAAATGAAATCTCAAGGATACAACTTGGTTTTGAAATTTTTATGGCAGCTGATTATGAGATGGTGTGTCATTTGTTTTATCCCTCCCTCCTCCCTTCTTTTCTTCCTTGTTGTTTATGGCTTTGTCTCTGTAGCCCAGGCTGACCTGGAACTGACTTTGTAGTCCAGGCTATTCTTAAGCTATTTGATTTTGGCCTCTCCAATTCAAGGATTCTGGGAATGAGCCATTGTCCGCATCCATATGCCTACCCTTCACCAGCTATTGCAACCATCTAAAGAAAGTGTAGGTAGATCTTCCAGAAGAGAAAACTACATGAAGAGAAGTGCAGTGGCTTGCCCGAAGAGCGACACACAGTTCATGGAGTGCATGGCACCTCAGACTTTTTTATTGTTCTTGATGCTGGTGTTTATTTTATTTTAATTTTTGTACCTTTGAAAGACTTGTTTTTTGCTGGTCACAAGATTGTTCTGAGAAGTATATAAAAAAAGGCATTTTCAAGCATTCTAAAGCCCAGGGTTTGGCAGAGTCAGCACCTACAGCATAGAGTCCAGGGAAGAGAAAGAGCTGTTCCTGGCCGGTCGCACGCCCTGAGAGCTCAGCATTGTGCAGTCGTGTGTAAGCTGGTTTATAACAACTTGAAGGACTGGAGTTACCAGGACCCACTCAGTCTCTGTTCCCTGTAAGGTGTCTTTGCTGGAACCCAGCTGTAATTGCAATTTTGCTGGTAGATAATGTTTTTAGTTGATTGTTACCATGAAGTTGGGGGAGGGGGCAAGGGTTATTTTACCATGCTGGGGGAGTTTAAGAGTAAATGTTGGGAAAGTGGCAAAATCAAAACATTAGCATTCTCTAGAACTTCTCAACAGAAAGGAGTCAAAGCTGGCTGTCTGGAAAGGTGTTGGGGACAAGTCTGGAAGCTGTTTGCTAAGGAAGCCCAATTCTTTTTTTTTTTTTTTCTCTTTGATTGCATGTCCCTGAAATGTTTTCTAGTGACTTCTTAAATGCCCATTGTCGGTATTTAAAAGGGGCTTGCAATATTGACAAAATAAATCCCAGCCTTGCCGATTTGTACTCGTGTGACCTTGAAGAAGTTACTTAACCTTTCCATGTCTAGGTGTCCTCTGCTGTAAAATAGAAATGATTTACTGTGAGGTGTGAGTCAATTACCAATGTGCTTATGACTTACTAGGCACTTCCTATTGCCATTTTAATTAACTAAATCTTAATTAATGTAATTTCAGGAGCCAGTAGAGATAATGGGGGGGAGGATGCTAAAATTGCCACAGTCTTGCCTTCTTTGAATTCTCCCAGGATAAATAATTCCCTTTAGCCTAGTAATTTGAGGTTTTCTGTGTTTTCATTGGCACTGAACTCTGCTTTTGAATTTCCTCCATATAATATAGTGAGAAGATCAGCAAACCACTTTAACCCATGCTGTTCTGAAACTCATTGTGTAGGCCAGACTAACCTCCAACTCATGGCAGCTCCATGCTTCAGCTTCCCAAGTCTTGAAATTGTAGACACAAGTCACCATTCCTCTTAAAACATACTCTGTTTAGTTTCTATTCTGTTGCTGCAAAGAAATATGACCAAGGCAACTTGCAGAAGAAAGCATCTAACTGGGGGCTTGCTCACATTTTCAGAGGGTTAGTCCATGATCATCAAGGTAGGAAGCAGACAGCATGGTGCTGGAACAGTAGCCAAGGGCTTTAACACCCTGATCCGTAGGTGGCAAGCAGAGAGACACAGCCTCAGCGTCCTCCCTCCCCCATTGTCTCCCCTGGCTCCTGAGATTACATGGCTTCATACTTGCCCTCGTAACGACCTGTCTGTGCCTCAGTTTCCTCATCTGTCAGCTGAAGTTAACACCCCCAGTGGCACATTGCCTTCAGCAAAGGCCACACCACCCAATCCTTTCCAAACAGTTCCACTAACTGGCACCTAAGCATTTAATCATATGAGCCTAGAGGGGCCGTTTTCATTCAAACCACCACACCTATATTAGTCGTCCATGAGATGGTAGATACAGCTTCGGCTTCAGATGTTTTCCATGGGTGGAGATAAAGGCCAAGAGGAAAGAGGTCATAACTCTGCTAGAGAGAAAAAAAAGGTGGTTACAGTTTCTGTGGGAAAGGGGCCTCCTATGCTTAGGCATTAGTTCATACTTATATCTTATAGCCACGTCATTTCCATTCTGTGGCAGAAAGAAACAGACTCATTCTTCTGGAGATACAAGAGGGGTGTGTGTGTGTGCGTGTGCGTGTGCGCGCGCGCGCGTGTGTGTGTGTGTGTGTGTGTGTGTGTGTGTGTGTGTGTTATTTCTCTTCCTAAACTGCAACCTTTTCCTCATAGGTTCTTATGGGAAGGACATTGGGGTGAGCCCCCCTCTCTATTTCCAGCTGGCCTTTCTGGTGAGTAGAGTCTTTTTGTGACCATTTCATATGTTAACCCTTGAAATATTTAAAGTATGTTATTTAATTTGGATTTAGTGACTGATGCTCCTGGAAGCAGTAAAGACCTCGTGACCCTTGGCCTGACTTGATAAAGGGCCCAGCATGGGTAGAAGGATAGGCAGAGTCAACAGTCTCCCGCTTGGGATCATGAGTAAATCCTAGGAAGTCACTGCAGACAGACCTTTTTACAGACAGTGTATGGAGACTCAGTTTTGCCCGCGTTCACAGACTTGTCTGGAAGCAGTTGCTGGACTCCCAGTCTGGCTGCAGGTGCCAGCAATGGCAGCTTTGTACCAGAGGGTTCAGGCTGCAGCATGTACATGGAGGGGACCCCTCCAGCCCTGAACTGTCCATTCCACCTAGCTTGGTGGGAGCCACCTGTCACACATGGCTCTAGAAATATGCCCAAAGTTACTGAGACACTGTGTTGCTTTCTTTCCTCAATCAATTTAAAATTGAAATGTGTATAGTTATATGTTCATTTGGATGTCATGGTGGGTGGGTGAGTCCTGTCCTCACCTGCCTTACTGTCATCGAGATGACCTCTCTGTGCCTGTTTCCTCATCTGTCAGCTGAAGCTAGCACCTATTCTGTCCCTCCCAGGTGTTGGGTAAAGCTTGAGCTTAAAAAGTTGTGGGAGGAGCTTCCTTCACAAGCTTCTTTGTTTTCTTTTTAAAAAACAGTCTGTGGTATCTGGAAGCATTTTGGTCTGGGAACTATCGGTAGGTTTTCATTTCTCTAAGATTCTGTAGTTGGATGAACTGGGTGTTTCCAGATGTTCTTATGAAACATGGGCTGGAAGACAGAGCTCTGGTCAATCAGGTCCATTTGACCAGTGAGTCTGAGTGCTCAGGCTAACATTGCTGAGCTAGGCATTCTCTAACCTGTAACCCCTGTGAGCTGTTTGTTTTAACAAACCAAAGCAGGTGCCCTTCTTTCTACTGGGGACTTTCTTAGGGTTTCTAATGCTGTGATAAAACAACATAACCAAAAGCAGCTTGGGGATGTTTATTTCAGTTTATAGCTTTTATAGTCCATCGTCCAGGGAAGTCGGGGCAGCAAATCAAGGAAGGAACCTGGAGTCAGGAACTGATGCAGAGGCCATGGAGCAATGCTGCCTACTGGTTTGTTCCCTACAGCTTGTTCTGACTACTTTCTTATATTATCCCAAAAGACAATGGTCTGGGCCCTCCCATATTTCTCACTAATCAAGAAAATGCCCACATGCTTGCCTACGGGCCAGTCTGGTGGGCATCTTCTCAGTTAAGGTTCCCTCTTGCTGTTTCTCTCTTTAGCTCCCTCATCTTCAGCCTTGCTAAATCCCAACTTCAGTATTTGGTGCTGTGTGTTCTTCAGTAAACAAATCCCTCTCTTGAGTGTCAGTTTCCGTAAAGCCTCAGTGGCCCTCGGATTTTTATTCCAAGACAGGAGGTAGGACCCAGCATCAATCACCAGGCTTCACCTCCCTTTGGGAGTGTGACACTCAGTTTTGACAAGACAGCTTCCTCTGCATATCAGGGCAGGGCAGCAGCAGGAAGTTGGGACCAGGGAAGCAGCTACATTACTTCTGACACCTTTGCTGTAAGCAGTAAGACAGTGTAATTTTCACAGCTTCCAGGTTTTTGTGGGAACCCTGGAGTGTTGCTCATTGTGAAGTGGGTTACTGAGGGTTGCTCCTGGAAACCCCAGGAATATTATTTTATTAAATCAGACTGTTTTATATTACAGTTTATGGGTAGGCTGAGGTTTTTTTTTAATTCTTTAAATGACAAAACCAAAAGTTGTGGTATTGGGGTGGAGGAGACAAAGATGTTAGGGTTCTCTCTTTGTGTTGCATTTTCTATGGTTATTGAAACCTATAGCCTATATTCACCACTGTAGTATTCTATACAATGGTTGTGTAGCCCTGGAAGTGCTCTGTTCTGTGTGTTCATCCTTTCTCAGCCCATAGCTCAAAACCACTGGTGTTTCCATTGTTTAGTTGTTTGCCTTTTCCAGAATGTCCACTAGTTGAGATTGCTGTAATATATAACCTTTCAAAATGGTTTATTTCATTTAGTAATATGCACTCGATATCTATCACCTACTAAAGGACATTCTAGTTGCCTCAGGGTTTGGCAGTTATGGGCAAGCTGTACAGATATCCATACACACATTTTTGTCTAAACATAGCTCTCAGTTCATTTGAGTAAACACCAGAGAGCACAGTTACTGGATTGTGTGGTAAGGCCACTTTTCTTTTTGTGGCAAGTTAGCAAAGTGTTTTCCCAAGTGTCTGGGCCACTTCACATGCCCATCATCAGCTCCTGTTGCCCTGTAGCTACGTCACCATTTGGAAGTGTTGCGCTTGTGGATTGGGGCCATTCTAGTAGGTGTGCAGTAGGTCTGATTGGTTGTTTTCTTATTGTTGAAAGTTTTTAAGTACTTGGGGACCAAATCCAGAGCATTGGATCCCTAGTAAATGCTTACTGTCTATTTTAAAGAGTTTTTTCTTCTTCTTGATAGTAGGTATTTATCAGAAGTTTCTTTTGCAAATATTTTCATTCAGCCTGTGGTTTCTCTTTCCATTCTCATGTCATAGTGTTTAGCAGAACGAAAGTATTTTCTTTTGTGTGTTTTCATTTTAATGAAGGAAAGCCCATCAGTTCTTTTTTACTGGATCATCTTTCAGTTATTTTCGAGAAGCCACTGCTGCTCCTGTCATCATTAATTTCCTGTTGCTGTGATAGTTCATCATGGTGCAGAGGTCAGGGTAGCAGGAACTTGAAGCCATTAGTCACATCACACCCAGAATTTGGACAGAGAACAATGAAGGCATATGGAGATCTCCTACAATCCAGGATCCTAGCCCAGGGAGTGTCGCCATCTACAGCGGGCAGGTCTTCCCACTTCATTTAATGCAATCAGGATAGCCAAGATAATTCTCCACAGAAATGCCCAGAGGCCCTTTTCCAAGGTGATTTTTAGATTCTGTCAAGTTCTCAATTGGCTTTAACTAGTATGATACCCGAGTTCTCCCATATGCACCTAGGTTACCCTCCAGAGTACCGGGTCTCAACCTCCTTAATCCTGCGACCCTGCTATGGTTATGAGTTACAATGTAAATGTCTGATATGCAGGATATCTGATATGTGACTCCCAAAGTGGTCGAGACTCATAGTTTGAGAACTACTGTTCTAGTTCCTAGTTTTTAGTTTTATTGTTAGTTCTGTCATTGGTGTTGAATTCTTGTGAAGGTTGTGAGGTCTGTATCTGGGTTTGTTTTTTAATGATTGTGTTGAGAAGACTCTCCATGCCATTGCATCACTTTACTTCTTTGTCAAAAATTAGCAGACTGTTTATGTGAGTCTGTTCAGGCGCTTTCTATTGTTCTGTATGTCTCTACTTTTGACAATATCATGCTGTCTTGATTACTGTAGCTTATACTAAGTCATACAGTCAGACTCACACTTCCAAATTTGTTCTTTAATAGTGATTTGACTGTTCTGAGTGTTAGTATTCAGGCATCTGTACTGGCCTGTCCCTGGGGTTGTGACCGGATACGCCCTCAGCTGCAGCCACTAAGAGCACCTCCTGTGCACCAACTCTAGGTTCCCTTTTTAAAAGGCTCTGCCTCTCTCTCTCCCTCTCTCTCTCTCCCTCTCTCTTTCCCTCTCCCCCTCTCTCTCCCTCTCCCAGTTCCCTTCTCTCTGTCTGTCTCTCTCTTCTCTTCTGCCGTTTCTGTTCCCAGAAGCCAGTCTCCCCTCTCCTCTTCCCCCTTTTCCCATTCACGTTCCCACAGTAAAAAACCCCTCCACCCAAGCATGGCATCCTTCTCGCACCACTCTTCTGCTTCTCCATGGAAACTTTAGAATCAGTTTATTAATCTATAAAGTGATTCAGTAGATTTTTGTGATTGTATTGAATCTAAAGATCAGGTTGTAAAAAATTGTGACCATAAGAACATAGAGTTTTTCTATGAACATGAACTGTTCATTTATTCAGTTCTTTGATACATTTCATCAGAGTTTTTTCGCTTTCCTTATATAGTGTTTATAGATTGATAATAGCGCAATATTTAATTTGGGAGGTGCTAAATGTAAATGATGATGTCTTTTTTATTTGAAATTGAACATGGTCATTGTTGTTATATAGAAAAGCAGCTGGCTTGTATAGGTTGGCCTTGTGTCTGGCAACCTTACTGTGATCACCTACTAGTTTCAAGAGGATTTCTGATTTTTTTTTCAGATTTGTAGATAATCATGTCACCTGTGCTTTATTCTCATTCTCTCTCTTTCTCTCTCTCTCTCTCTCTCTCTCTCTCTCTCTCTCTCTCTCTCTCTCTCGTGTGTGTGTGTGTGTGTGTGTGTGTGTGTGTGTGTATCATTGATCTATAAGCACAAAGTCTACTGAATTACTTTGTGGATTAATAAACTGACTCTAAAGTTTCCTTTGACTAGAGAGACAGTTCACTTTGATATCTAATTTCATAGCATTATTTGTAACAAAATTAATTCTCTTATAATCATTAAATGACTGTTGAGTAGCAACTATGTCTTCCCATTAACAAAACCAGTGACCTCAACATTGACCAAAGCACAGAAGCCAGGAATATTTCTGCCTAGGCCATTCCCTTAATATTTTTATTTTCTCAATTGATTTTAAAAGTTTAGACACTTTTAAGAAACAGTGCAAGTGTATTTTAATAATTGTCCTTTAAATACAGAATCTTAATTATCTCTCTATTTTGAACCTGCAGTAGTTTCTTTTTTTGGCATTTCCATAATTAACATCTAAAAATGTCAGATCCAAATCATTTCACTAGGAAGCTCAAGATTAGCATTTCAGCATCTACAGTCAGTCCAGACTGATGTAAAGTCTTTGAACTTCATTGACTTTTTACCTCCATCCCAAAGTTAACAGTTAATTCCTCATTTGGTTAGGTCCAGATCAGGACCTGGAATAGCAGGTTTTCAGAA